AGAGGAAGAGTTTTCAGATACAACCAATGATAGTTCCAGGGTAAAAAAATAGTAGAGATTGAAAAGGAAATATTTGAAGAGATAATCGCCATTTTGCATTTTAGGAAAGCACTAATACCAAATTCAGGAAACTCAATGAATCCTAAGGAGGTAAATAAAAACCAATATACACCTACATATAGTAGAGCTAAAGAAAAAGGGAAGATACTTATAAAATCAGAGAATAAAAACATTAATCACAAAGGAAGAACAATTAGATTAACAGTCGATTTCCCAACAGCAGCAACTGAAGCAAGAACATAGTAGAATAATATATTCTAAATACTGAAGGAAAATAATAATTATCAGAGAATTTACAAATTAAGCAGAACTTTCTTTCAAAATTGAGATATGAATAGGCATTTCACATGAGAAAAACAATACAAGTTACTGGTCATTAATATTTAGTCCTATTTTAGAACTTAGGTCTTGAAATCAAATTAAGTTCTCCTTGCTTATTTCCCTGAATTTTATATACATTCTAGTTATCAGCCTTTTATGGGATGTGCACATATAGTAGTAACATCCATCAGGTGTCGGGCAGATGGGAGGGGGGAGGAGGGATGGGTATACGCACACCTAATGGGTGTGGTGCGCACACTCTGGGGGATGGACAAGCTTGTAGCTCTGACTCGGGTGGGGCAAAGTCAATATATACAACCAAAACATTTGTACCCCTGAAATATGCTGAAATAAAAAAAAAACTAAGTTCTCCTTTCCTTGGGGTCCAGTGGCTTGGAACTTGTGCTTACGGTGGGGGTAGAGAAAATTCTCTCACAACTTTGTTCCTCTTCAAGTGCGTCCTCCTCTTGTCTGGTGTTGGGGTAGGGAGGAAGAAGGGACAAAATAGTATTTCCGTATGCAACTTCCCATAGTTGATTGGTGGATGTTTATTTTGTTAGTTGGAACTGCTCTTCTAAAGTAATAGAAGAGGTGGGTTACTTTTCCCTCTGTTACTTGCAGCTACTGCTCTATGGTAGGCATCCAAATGCTGGTTTTCTAAAGGGCAGATGTTTGTACACAAAGAGTGCAATGCGCATCACCCGAAGGATGGACATATTTGAAACT